GTTCAACTGAAGTCCAGTCGGTCAGGTGGATTCAGAACCGGCACCTGGTTTTCTCGCTGGCGGTGCGGCAGTGCCGGGTTCGACCTCAAGGATTTAACACCAGGACCAGGAGTAGTTGGGCAATGAACCCATTAACTTACCTAAAAAAGGAATGATTGAAAAAACGCCAGTCTCCTTTGCAAACTGGGGGCATGTTTCACTTTCTCACTAAGTATTGTGTTAGGGGATATATGATACTACATGAGAAATGGGATGGCACAATTTATCAGATGATCAGGTATATCAGGTCAAGGTTTACAGTAGCTCATTTTCTTCAAGTCTTGTTTCTTTGGACCCTCCACCTAAAATGCAAAAGAGAAGACTCGTTTCAAACATGTGGAAACGGTTTCGGTGGATCATCGTGTTTTTGATAGGCAAGACGATCAACAAGGTCCTTAAGCCACATGCAAGGTGTATGGGAGCCATCAGGCTAGGTCTCCCTGATGCGGGACGCATCCATCTTTTAACTAGCACCTCTTGGTGGGTGTCCTCATGGTCGTTGGTTTACTGCACCCCCTTGGCAGACTAACATAGCCTTGCACCTGGAAGAGGAGAAGATGTTAGTTTGAACAGACAATGAGGGAATGTAATTATACAAGATTTGAGACGGTCCCAGCTCTAGTCTCTATCAACTACCAGCAGAAGTTGCACTCACCTTTAGATGGTCAAATGATGCTCTTGCGATGAACGAAACGACCAGAGATACTTCACCACGACTCAGCCGTGGCGCAAGAGCCGTCACCAGCGGGAGCAAAAGGGCCTAAAAACCGGGCCGGGCGTTGCCAAATTGAGGGTCCTACCCAGTCAGAGGATAACTCACCCTCATCATCCCTCATCATCCCTCCGCAGATTGCTTTCCTCAATGAAAAACACCTCGACACGATGGTCGTGTGTTTGTGGTAGACCCAAGTTGCGTGACCCAACTTGCGAGAGTTTCAACAGGTGGAATTGTTTTTGGAACTGAGGGAGTCAGCATACCTTGGCCCCGAGGAGTCAGCATAGCCCGGCAGTCCAAAAAAGTGCGTACTTGGTATTTTGGGTGTGTTTTCAAGATAATGCTTTTACAGACACACTTTTCCTAACTCCCAACTTTCAGATACACCAATGTCAGTGTACGTCAGTGGCCTCATTGAAAACGAGGCTTTTCTGCTCCCAGGGTCTTCTGCCACCTTGGCCTGTCGGTGCTCCGCACCGAAATAGACTATGTTTCCGCATGTGTAGTTACAGTTCCTATCTTTTCCCCGAGAGAATCAATAGGAAGTGTCAGGCGGTAGAGGAGCATCACCTGGTATAACCACCTGAAGATGTGTTCATGTTTCGGTTCTGCCAAAGAGGTTTCTATTGTGAACATCCTTCGAGACGGATGGAGGATGGACTGTCAACATGTGGCCAGCTCACCACCGGGCCAACCGTTCACGTGGAGCCGAACGATGCCGGGAGCCTCCCGTTCAATGACCGTTCAACTTCCGTTCGGCGAACTTGCATGGTTGGTTTTGGCGGACGCTATACCGGGAAGATACTTCTATAACTTCTATACCTGGGAAGTCCGCGCATTTGGATGCAAGGGAAACGAAGTCCTAACCGGTCCTAACCGTGCTAATTGAATTTGGAGGGTCAATATGGGTCAAAGGGACTACTTGGCCCCTGGTGTTAGAGACTATCCAAGCAGTGATGGCAGAGCACACATTATAAGGCTACTGACGCCTGTTGATGGACACGCTCTGGATGCTCACATTTTTGCTAAATACGCCTGCAGCTGTTTCAAGATGCCAAACAAAAATCAGATCTAGAATCTAAAGTCTCCATTTTGAGACATTGAACAGTCACTCAGCTGCATCACTGAAGTTGACGCGCTTCCCTGGACACCTTGACATCAACGATCATGGCGAACTTAACGGCAGCAGTGCGAGCCTTGCCGAGAACATGAAGCTGCTGACATGGGGAACGGTGAGAACAGAGGCAACCCTGCCCCAAACCAGGCCTCTCACTGGGCGATTGATGGAGACCTGTTTCATTGGATTCCTCGTGCTGAAAAGAACAGTGCGGAGAGAACTGAGATGTTACTGAGATGTTGCGTTTTAAATCTTTTTCCAAGGTGAAGCCTTCTGACATATCGGGTTGGGTGTGGTCAGGACCTGGTCAGCCGAGTTTGGTTTGTTGGGCTTGGTGAACGGCAGGCGCACGATTAGACACAGACCATCCAGCGGACTGGCATGTGTCGCTACCTTTGCCCCTTTGACCAACCACTTGGCACTTGGATTGGATTCACACTCATGGACCAGCAGGGGACTCCTCATACAACTGCTTCGCTGGATTCTCACTTTCGTGACCGCATGTGTCAATGACTTTGACGAAAACGCCACGTCCGACGTCGACGTGGTTCGAGTGACTCGAGTTCGAGTTCGAGTGACTTGTTGTGTGAGATTCCTCCGCGACCCTCAAAGCCAAAGACACACGCGGTTCCAAGACTTAAGCTGGGGATGTTCACACCCTTTCACCATCTTTCATTCACCTTCGACTGACCTTCGACCCAAAACAGCCTCTTGCGAAGCTGAGCCGCTTCGCCCCGAGGGCTCATGACCCGGCCAGCGCTTCAGCTCTCGGCGGCCCAGCGCTGCGTCTCCAACCCGCTGCCGGCGCGGCACGCGGAGGTCTTCGCAGATGTGCGGGCCGCATGGAGCAGCAACGGGACCATGGAGGAAGCTATTCTCTTGTTGAGGTTTGGTTTAACATCATTTTCACACCCTTTCAATCAGGGTGGGTTTCAATCATCAACCCTTCATACACATTGGGGTCACCAAACCCACTGGGGTCAAACAGGCATGGTTTTTTTCAAGAGCTGATGTGAACAAATATTTACTGTAATCGGCTCTCCAGTGGAACACCCGAACCGTGTAGTGCAGGTGGCCCTTGGGCGGGAAAGCCATAAACCAACCTGATGTACGCAAACCAGGGTAGACCATCCCGATGTAGGTAAATAAGCAATACAATCATGACATGGGTTATTGTCGGGGTATTGTATGGTATTAATACATATTAATAGTTATTAAATGTTATTAATATCTATATTAATACTACAATACTGTCACAGCCAAATGTGCAGGACAATGCATAAATCATGCTTTCGCTTTGTTTTGGACATTCTTCCAAAAGGTCTCATGGCTGGGGGCTGGGGCGATGGAAAAGGCCGCTCCAACCAGAGATCTGCGCGCGAGACCGCCTCGAGGAACGGCTTTTCGAAGCCTACGTCTCGAGGACTCCCTCCTTCGTGAAGGCGGGAGCAACAGCAGCGGAGGTCTTCGGGATGATCGGAAGACCTGTTTCACGCAGGTCTGCAAAGTGATGGTTCTGATTGAGCAATTTTCAGGTTTAGCTGGACTTGTTTTTAATAGCACCAAGCCACAGGGCACATGCATCTTGCTGAAATCCGTGGCTTCAGCCTTGATTGATGGTTGGTTGACTATCCACTGTTTCCAAAAAGGACAGCTTGGTTTGGAGCCCAAAAATAACTAGTGCATATAGAGCAATTGGACCACCGCTCACGTCCGGCTGTTGTTTTTCTCTTTATTTTTTGAGTGGGTGGGTGGGTGGGTGGGGCGCATCTACGTCATTTGCGCTTGCACATGTTTTTGTTGCTCTGCTGCATTTGGGTGACACCTACGTCATTTGCACGTGCACCTGCTTTTGTATCTTTTGTTGCTCTGCTGTAGATGGTTGACGTCTACGTCATTTGCACTTACACACGCCTTTGTTGCTCTGCTGCAGATGCTTGACATCTATGTCATTTGCACTTGCACATGCTTTTGTTGCTTCGCTGCAGATGTTTGACATCTTTGTCATATTTGGGTAGAAAGAACTCAAGGCTTTTTTGGCGTGCAAAGTACCCTGTGAGTGTTCACACTAATGGACACAGGACCACGGACCCGGAGTTGGAAGAGCTTACTTTCCAACTTGTCTATCGCCGCAGTATTCTTCCAGCCACTCCGGAGTCTTTCATGGTCTCGTTATGTTGAAACGAATGCTGAACTCCAGCTGATCGCCATGAAAGCCTTCGAACCTTTCAATTCCAATGGGAAACACCAGCATGCAAACTGCCCACGTGTGAACGACATTATAAAGAGCCTGATTTCAACATGACGTCGAGTCCTATTGGGGAGGACATCGTTTGGTTCGTTGAATTCTTGTAGCTTTCGCTCCGCGGCTGCCTGCGCCCAGTGGACCTAGTTCATTGGTCATCCATATACCTCCCTGATGCCAAGCCCAACCCGAGCTACCTTGCTGTATGTTGCCATGTATCATGTTTTCTTCTACATGCATCGCCCTGTTCCTATTGGTATCGGTTTTCCTTTACATGCATCGCCCTGTTCCTATTGATATAGGAACCGCCAAGAATCAACTGGGGGTGACAACCCTAACCAATTCTTTTAAAGCAATTCCTCGGTGGTAAAACCGATATCAATCACCCATGTTTTTACCGTGGGTTGGAGCGCACTATCATGGAGTGCAATCAAGTAGCCTCCAAACATCTCCAAACGCCGCTGTTTTGCTGAACCAGAGAGGTTTGGGTGGTTTGGCTGAGTACGCGGATAGCTGATTGGGCTAGCAGGGGTTGTTGAGTAGATGAACACATTGTCTACTGAAGGATGGCCCATCAGCTTTTATGTCAACAGTTTTGCGAGACTGGTTTGCGAATGTTTGCGAACCTTTATAAAAGCTTCAACCAACAAGTGGGTTGGGAAGAAGAGCAGTTCCTCTTCTTGGTTGTTGTTCTACCAGTTGTTGGGAGCCTTAAACTTGACAGACAAATACACACCCGTGGTTTTGTAATTTCGTAACCTAATTGTTGCACATTTTTTGGGAGAGGTCTCTTGCATTCAGCACCTGTCCAATCGCTTCCACCTTCACGTCGACAGGCTGTGGACCTCCTCACGGCGCGGGGGGGACAAATCCACAATGACCACATGGCACTGCGATCCTTCGTGGACTCTGAAGGCGCATCCGCACTGGGGAAGGTCCGTGCTGGTGCAGATTGGTGGCTCCTCCAAAACCCAACAAGTTTCATCAAACGGGAGTGGGTCCCTCGCGTGAAATGTGTGCAAAACGTTGCAAAACGTTACTGTATGTGAATTCTTTTTTCACCAAAACATATTTTTCAACCGTGTTTTGCTAGGGCGCTCGGGCTTGAAGTTCTTTGAATCGATCTTCACCCACTTTGGCTATGCTGTGCAAGGCCGTGGCTTCTGCAGCGCTGTTGTTTTTCTCCGGTGGGTCATGTGAGTTGAAGTAACCTCTGTGAGAATCGATGGATCACACCGAATCACACCAGGGTGGTTGCCAGATTGACATCGTTGCCATAACTTTGTAGTTCCCATGTACTGCACCTGGATGTGAAAGTTTCAAAGCAGCTGACATGAACTGGTTGACTGGAGGCGGTTCTGTTCATCTTCTCGGCCCACCCGCTACTGTAAGATTTACGAGAGACGAGACATTTAGCACATATTCAAGCCGTGTCTTCTGAAGTCGCTGTACAAAACACAGCAGAACAACTATTAGGACGTTTTTCGAGGGATACCCAATGATACCGGTGAGACGTTCCAAAAACGACGATGTACGGTCAAAGTAAGACTCCCAAATAAACTGAGACAAGTGGAAGGGGCTGCCCTAGCAACTACTTGTTTCAGATTTCATATTACTTCCAAACAGCGCAAACAGCAGACTTTCCACTGCCATGTCACCTTCGGATGCAAAGGCAACACTATCCCGCAAAACAAGCTAGTAGCTAGCATGTTCCCAAAGCCTTCCTTTTTTTCGGGCAGATTGTAGGACGTTGAATTTTTGACACAGCCGATGAATTCACAATGTCACAGTCACAACAGAGTCCCACTTGCTGCTCTCGCTCGCCCAGACTCCTTGGTGATCCCTGGCCTCTGCGTGAATGCACGGTGGTATGAACCGCCAGAAGAGAAGCTTGTATTGATGGTTGTCACTGTGGAAGGGGGACACTGGGACTCCAACGTGCCAGCCTGGCTGTGACCGTCGCGCCCCAAACGCCCCAAGAAACGCATGTGACGGTCAAGCGTTTCGGGACTCGACTGTCTTGGACCACTGTAATCATTTTGGTCGAAGCCTGCAAGGTGGTGTTGCATTTGGTCGAAGCCTTGATTTGAGTCCAGCTCATGCAGAAGTTGACCTGCCATCACCTACAATCAACAGACCCTATAAATCCCTGTATAATATATATTGATGACTGGCACGGAGCCAGCTCAAAAATCACCTAGATTCAATGGGCCATAGCTCTCAATTCCGATGCATCCGCTTTCCTTTCACTCTCGATGCAGCATCTGCTTTCCACCCATCCTCGAGGACCAACTGGCCGAAGGTCTTTGTTTCAGAGATGCGGATCAAGGAGCTCCCAGAAGTGGCGCAGGAAGTGCTTTTCCGTGGCCTGGCATTCATGGTGATGGCTCCAAAAGTGCCCAGCAACGTCACTGAAACATCACATGATGATGCTAACACCTGTGAGGTCCTAGGTCTTTTTGTTGAGCCACATCCAACGCAGGGTGATACAGATGGTATTGTATGGGTGGGTGGGAGTTTCGATCCGTGGCATCAAAAGGGAAAGCAAGTTGTCAGCTTGTGCCTCAAAAGATACTAAGTCCAGGAGCTCTTCCAAAGTCCAATTTTGTACAACGCTTGAAACGGCCGGGAGTTGGGGACCTTGGGTTATCCATGGTTATCCAACTCCCCTTTTATAACCATCCCTCAGGCCACGTGGATGGCTTCTACGAGCCCAGCCGCGCGGAAGGAGCCTTGGCGAATGGCTCCGCGGCGGTGGCGGAGCTGCTGGAGACGCCGCCCTGGTGCCCCACCGCTGAAGAGCAGTTCCTTGGGCGAACGATGGGCTTCGGGGATTCGATGATGGATGCGGAGAGGAGAGGAAGGTGGGGGTCGATGTGGAGAGCAGGTACCTCTAGAGACTTAGAGATGGGTGCATCGCGGTTTAGGACGATTCACCAAGAAAGAGGGGACCGGTCGGACAAAACCCAAGAAGATGATCATCTGGTCGGGGAAAGCTGAAGCTGAAGCCTCACTCGTCAATCCCAGACTGAGCGAGTGAAGTCCGGCCCAAGGCAGACGCTGCACCAGTTGGCCAAGGAGCCACACTTGACAAATGCCGTGGAGTACGCGGCCTGGACCTTGACCCACGGGCACCGCACCATGGCTCTTGAGCCGGATGGACCGGTGGCCAGTGTTTGACGACGGACATGGTATATGTATAGGTCTGATGGTTTGAGTAAATTCCCCTCAGGAGAAGTGCAGTGCAGGTGTGCCCAGGTGCCCAGGCAGGAGGTTGCGTGACGGTGTGCCCGGGAAATACCTCTTGGCTGCATTTGTCGGACGTTTGCGCATCAGTACCTCATCACTCATCACCATTATCAATAAGTTATGCGGGTTATCACCAACATCACAAACAGCATCATGATTGGATACAATCCTCATCACCTTCGTAATCATCACCGTCATTTGGGCCCGTTTTCGTCATGAGTGTGCCCGCGTGCCCGTGTGCCTGGGGTCTTGTGAGCGGACCGGTCTCCTAGATCTGGGGCCGTTGGTGACTGAGTCAAACTTCCAGAAGGGTGACTTTGTGCAGAATATCGACAGGCAAGTCCTGATGCTACTATAGAACCTGACAACGAGGTAGATCGCGCCCATGACGATCTTCTGCAGAGACCTTGGGATAATGCAATTTCACCATTGTCCACTTTTACTGCAAGAGCATCAAGTCCCCAAGTTTCATTGATTTCTTTGTTTGTGGGTGGATGGACCCATTGTGTCTGAAAAGCGGTTTTGGAACTCTTATTATGGTTTTGTGATGCTATGTGTCTTCGCGAAGCATCTTCAGCGTCAAATTCGAGCTGCCCAGGGCCCAGAATGCTGATATTATATATATAATATATATATATATATGTATATATAAGTAGGGCTAACGCCCTGGTGCCGCCGACCCCCTTTTTGGGGGAAGGATGGCGGCGTTTGTTTTGCCAGCTGTGGTCCGGAGATGCAGAAAGGCTACAAGTCACAGTCTTTGATGCATGTGGGGGCAGGAGGTATGAAAAACATTGCGAAGCCAAGATGAGCAGGCTAGATCCTACACTGGTTTCTGACATGCTGACAACAGCGTTAATTCACCATCACATTCATGTGCCCCCAAAATGTCCAGTCGGGTAAATAGATAGGCAGTCTATACATGGAATGTTTGAGGCACTTTTTGGGAAACGCCGATGTGTGTGGAAGTCATGATTGTTTACTATTCACGCACAGACTATACTGGGGCGCACTGCAACGTGAGTTAACAAAAAGACAGCAACGTGGTTTTCATGTTCCTTGTGTCGTGGAAGATGGTTCTTCCGCCAGCCCATCGGGTCAAGCAAAGCCGCTTTGAACTTCACCTGGCTCTTGAGTGGAGATGGTGAGCGTCTTGATTGCAACATTGCGCAATCAGCCCGTCTTGGGACCCAAACGTGACCATCTACAGGGTCCTCGCTTTGGGGTTCCCTAGTTGGTGAGTTCGCTTCACATTTAAGTCTGAAATAATACAAGTTCATTTTCAACATGTCAGCAATATGTCACAAAGGTTCCAGCTGGGTCCTGAGTTGAAATCATGATGAAAGTCGCTGATGAACGGTTGTGCTCAAACATTTTTACAGCTGGTGGTTCACCAGCCGACAAAAAATCTGCTTGTCGATGTGGCCTTCAACTTGAGTCGGACCAACGTTGTTTCGTGACTGAAACAGTCGTTAGACCACAAAAAAGCAATGCAATATATTTTGTCTTTAGCCCGCGCCCGCCCTCGGTAGATCTGTTGAACAGCACTTTTGACTTGAACTATGGTTAGACGACAAACTCAATATAATCCATTTGCAATTTTTACGGTCTTAGGCCCGCGCCCGCCCTTGGTGGAGCCAGCGCCGATCCACGTAATATGTTTGTATTTGTAGATATATTTGCATATATACAAATACATAAACATATATATATATATATAGCATAAACCGAGCGTAGGGCACGCGCACAGTTGTAATAAGGATATTTTGTACCCCTCGCAGATTTGCCATGGCAACTCTAGATGTGGCTGCCTTGACCAACTTAGCGGCAGAAGAATTTGGCACAGGCTTCCGCTACTCGGACGAGTTTTCGCAGAGATGGGTCGAAAACAAATTGGGGTTCAGCCGAAGGAGCCGTGGATACAATAAGACTGTCCAAGAATCGTTCTCTGCTGTCTGGACTGCGTTGGACGAACGGTTCCCCGAAAGACAAATCACTTGGCCGGTGTGGCCAGCTGCCCGAGACCTTGTCTCCGTTGACATTGGGAACTTGAAACGCATGAGGCTTTTGGATCGAACAATAGTTCCCAACATCTACAGCCAGAAGGTCTGCCGCATGGCTACCCGTGATTCTTTCAGCGACGACGTGTTGTTCAAACGACTTTCGATCATACTTGGTGCAGCAAGCACTGCCATAAGGGCCTAAAGCTTTTGAGGAGATTTGGCCTCAGGCTGAGAAGAATCATTGTCCAATGCTTGTGAGGGAGGGAGAGGCGCCAGCCGCAGCAGAATCTTCAGGGGCCAATGAAATCTATCGCTTCGATTATTCAGAGCAGACGCAAAAGTACCAGGTTGATCAGGGCAGGCAACTACAGAAGCACCTGAGCGGTATTTCTTGGAATGGTGGTGCGACGCGTCAAGCGCTCGACGTTGCAGCTTTTGGAATCCTAGAGAAAAACCGTCGCGGAACCGCGCCCAAAAAGGGCTGGTGTCGCCACAGCCTTCCCCCATCTAATTCTGCGCGCAAGCGGGTGCCA